GACGACACATAGTAGTTGCTAATTACCGCGTGAACAAGCGTGTGTATATAGTTTACTTTCCTTTAGTTCATTTTTCCTGTCAATATATTTGTTAGCTATCCATGTTGGTCATTGTAGAAGATGACTCTCCTTGCCAAAGAATTTATCATCAGCGATGCACGAATTTAATTTTTGATAGTGCTCTTATATTACCTCAATATCAGATACGCAGTATCTTAGAACAGAAAACGATAATAGGTCGCACGACAATTAGTCGAAGTGTAGAATTGGTCGTATGTTTGACAAAAGTTGTGGCTCTTTCTCTTTCTTATTTTACGTAGACCGTTTTACCGCCATAAGTTGGTAGTTCAAACTGTCTGAAAACTGGCTATTTACAGCCAGTAAACCGTCTTTTAACAGCCAAGCTTCTCATGAAAGTTCGATATATGAAAACGTGGTTTACTGGCAGTTTTTAGACAGTTAAAAAACTAACGGTGGTAAAACCATACTATCCGAACCATCAACAAACCACCTAACAACTGTCTGAACGGCCTAAAAACTGCCAGTAAACTGCCTGTTAACTAGCAGTTAACTTGGCAGTTTTCAATGTTCTGGGGTTTTTAGATTTATCGAAATGTCAGGAAATGTCTATTCTGAAAATGTACCGATATTTTTCATGTTGAGTGATTACATCAAATATGTTTATTATTATTTTGTCTGTTTACAGCAGACAATAGTCCGAAAATAAGAAAAAATTCTATGGATTATGATATATTTCTAAAGCAACTACTACTTGCTTTCCTGTGGCGCTTCCTGGATAGAAGTGTTTGCTAAACATTCGTATTCCTACTAATATCTAATGTTCCTTGCCCTTGGATAGATTATTAGTTATTTTCTGAACCTCTCTGAATTATTTCTGCGCAATGTTAATAAAGTTTTTTAGCGAATTTTATTTGTCAGCATTGCAATTGATTCTACACTGCGGCTAGTTGTCGTAGCGCCAATTATCGCTGAGACCAACTGACGTCGCTCGATTGTCCCACTTGGGCTGTTTTTCTACGACAGCTTCTACTCGATACGTAGTCATCGCACATTTTACCAGCAAATGAACGAAACATTTTTCCGGTAAAAAACTAGTAGAAAGAAGGTTTTAAATAAGTTTTCTAATACACTCCGTGCGAAAAATCTTGTGTTGCTCTTTCATGGCGCTGAAAAGTATCAAAAATGCTTTAAAAAATCCCGATAACATTTTTTTCTTAGGATGAAGTACAAAACTACCAAAATTTGAAAGATATGATGAACAAGATGATCGAGTTAACAGACAATGGCATCACAATTGATAAAGCCATGATGGATAAACTTACTCAAGAATATAATATTAAAACATAATAAATAAATTTTGATTTTTTCTTGATCTTTTTTTTTCTGAATAAAATGATCTTGTGTCTATCATCAAAAGAGAAAAGTAGTAAAATATGTAAGCTACATGTTTCCGTTTTTCGCAAAGAGAACAGGAACTAATGATATAATAAAAGAGATACAAACTCATAGAAACATGACCATACATGATACTCTAAACGACCAATATGACTTGATCACATAGCTGAGTTAACGTTCATCTTTTATTTATTGAACTGTTAGAATATACATGATATTTTTGTTTAACAATTGTATTTCACTCTTATTAAATTCATGCATAAAGAAATTGAAAAAAAAATAGTTGATATTAATCAGTTATGAAATGTAGGAGATTAGGTCGGAGTATAAAGAAAAAAAAAGCACCTTGAAAAAAAGAGCGAATTATTAGAAGCATATTATGTACATAAAGAGACAAAGGAGGAATGATAATAAAAGTGAGTTTAGCACCGACCAACTTACCATTGATTCACATAATCAAATCCTTGAAAATATTTTTGATCCGCGTCACGTACTTTTCTCTGTGAAAGCTCGATCAAAATTATTATCAGTTAGACTTGGGTCGAAAAAGGATATATAGCCAAGGGGAGAAAGGGCGTCCCAGAAAAGAATCAATTATTATTTTATTCATAGATCTAGTATAGTTTACAAAATTTTTCCAAAATAGATGAAATGTGAGCATAAATCTGAAAGATTTGATCAAAACTCTGTTGCATTGAGCAAGATTCTGTTAGAATGGGGAAAGCTAACAGAATATTTTGATACTCTTGACACTGTGATTCAACGATTTTACTTATATTAACTGCTGAATCTGGTCTAGCCGATATACCGAGACAACGTATACGGGAGATGTATGTTTATGAAATTAATTATTTTTTGTTGGTTGAAATTTTGTTTCGAACCCTTTGCGTCGATTAGAAGATCCAATTTATTAACGTGACACTGTGACACTTTTTTCTCTCAAAGGTTGAGGTTTTCAATGACGATATAATTGTGGGAAGAAAGTCTTTAGTCCTGATATCTTTGATTGAAAAATAATTAAAATAAATTGATTTGATTCTGAAGTGAATGAGCTTATGCTCTCTATCGAATAGATAACAAATACAAAGGGAGGTCAAATAAACGATATAAACAATTGGTTGCTCTTTGATGACCAATATTAATGTTCTAGTCAATGATATTGATTATTGATTATGTTCACTCAATACAAATTTGTGTTTTTCATGCAAATGAATCTTTTTCCGCTGTCACATAATAAAAATCTCTAAAACAGTCTGATCGATGCAGAATTTCCTTGTCTATCCGATGAGACTATTTTCGATATGTGTTATGTTTGACGAAATGTTGAAAAGAAGTCAAAATCTTGTTATTTATCGCTCACTTATTCCAAACCGAATGGATGATTGATCCCTAAAAGCTGAGCAGTTGAGTCACTGAACTGAATCCACAAAACACCGCTACGCTCATGAAGGGATTGTCTGATTCAATGAAAAAGCCTTTTCTGCTGTCACATGGTAAAAATCATTGTTTTCATTGTGTTTTTTTGGACGATAAATTAATTCTTTTGTATTATATTGTTGTATTTGTAAAATTTTTTGTATGATATCAGATGCTCCGTGACCGCGTCCTAACAGACGATTGAATAGATTATAAAATTCGCGCCATTCACGTTGTAGATGGTGAAGAGCATAAACGAACAGTAAGATTGGAGAGAGACAAAGGGATGTTATTGATGACGTAACGAGGATGTGATGATGCATATTGTAAATATTGAAACGTGTTTGATGGCTTAACTTATAATGACGTTTCAGGACTATTTAATGTTTTATTAATAATAATATTAACGTCTAAGAAATTAATTTTGGTTGTACTACTTTTAAATGTATATATTAAGTTATTATTCGTCTGATTTAATGGATTAAGTAAATCTTCAATAATATTTTTATCAGTAGTAAGCAAAATGCATAGAATATCATCAAGAAATCGAAAGAATCTTAATATTAATGATGACGAACATTTCTTGATAAACGATTTCCGTGCTTTCATTTCTTTCTTGAACACATATATATTGGCATACGGAGGGGCAAGCTCCGTGCCCATAGCCGTGCCCATGCGCTGGTGAAAATAAACACCTTTAAATATTAAGATATTGCCTGTTAATACAACTTCTAATAATTTATTAAAGCAATTCATGGTAAGACTGAAGTTTGTATGATATGAATTCTTAGATACAAAATCATGTAATTCAGATGAACCGTCCTTTTGATCAATATTTGTATATAATGCCGAAATATCACCACTGACAAGAGTGATATATTTGACACACAATTTTTGATCATTAATTTGATGATTTAATTTATCAATTTCAATTAATAGATGATTTGTATCCTTCAAAATAATATAATTGTCAATATTATAATCTTCCAGTGCAATATCTTGTATTAATGGTATAAATGGTGTCAATTTTTGTTCCAAATATTTGGAGATATTAGAAGTCATATGCTGGCAACCAGGAACAATTGGGCGACCAGGGCACGATTTTTTGTGCAATTTTGGAAGAATATAAAAAACAGCAGATGATGGTCTCACTGGTTTCAATTTTACAATTTCAGATCTTGTTATATCATTGTTTTCTAATAATTCGTTTAGAACAAATTTAATTCTCCAATATAATTGTGTACAAGGATTATAATTGTACTTTTCATAATAGTTTGTATCATTTAACTGTTGTAGCACCTTGGATTCATATACTTGATTTTCAGTTATACAGATACCAACATTTTCATCTGCTGGACGGACAATAATATCAGTTCTTTTTTGTAATTAAATTAATACAAGCTGTACTTCAGTTGATAAGTTTTGTTGAAATTACTGACGATTAGCAAATAATGATCGAAGAAAGTTATCAATCTTAATATTTTTAAACAGTCTGGAAGATTGTAAAAATTTTAGGACACAGAGACGTAGTTCATTTGTAAGGTGACATGGCCGATTAGGAATAAATTTCAAACCTTTAACTAGAACATTAATTTCATGTTGTGTCAATTTAACATCTCCAATTGTATATATTATATCAGACAGATGAACAGCTTCTAATTTTGCTAATTTTTC